TTCCTTGACCAATTTGTGCAGGGTTCCGAAAGATGTTTTGTTTTTTGACTGATCAGACAAAAGTCCAGATTCTGGACTATGGGCAGATGACATGTAAAGGTAATGTATCAGGCACTCTTTTCCAACGGTCTCCCACACAAAAAGGGAAGAAGGACACCTGACTGCAGGTTACGACAAATCCTACACTTTTTGCTAACACACATTACTGGTGTTATCTCCCATGGAAATAGCCAAATTTTCATTTTAATAGGTTTTCTGAGGTGGCCTCACGATTCAAAACTGACGTTGAATGTTTTCATGAGGATATATAAAGAATTGGTAAAGGTATTATATAACCTATAAACAAAACAACATGGTAATACTGAAGCATAACGCTGTCTCTGTCATCTTGTTACGTTTAAGGAAGAGCAGTTGCCTTCATATTTGTATTGACTGTAATTTCTACTGTGCATGCAAAAATAGATATATTCTTGTTTTTTTTGCTCTTTTAGTTGAAGTGGGAATACTTGAAGAAGCAAGTTTACTCATGGTAACTCCTTATTCTTGCATCAATCCGCACAACTATAAGAATTAAGATCAAAAACATAATCTCTAATTAGTCAGACAATACAATACCTTCATTCAAACCAGTTGAATGACGACGAGCCATGTGCAACTTTGTCTGCTGCACTATTGCTCCTGCAACTGATTTGCAAGGTTCTAGTACAGTATATAAATATATATCTTGGTCCTGTACATCTTTCCATAACTCGTTTTTTGTTTTCATTTCTCATGGTTGGTAATGTGTACAAGGACGTGGATCAGGTGAATGAAGTAACTATGAATAGCTCCTGTCATGCTCTATGGGTCCAGTTTTTGCCAACTCTATTAACAGCTTTTCCGAAAAAAATTTATACATATGTAAAATAGCAAAGCAAGATATTGAGATTGTTTTGGAAAACCGATCAGGATTTCCAACACTTGGTAAGTGCTAAAAAAAGAAGCAAAAGGTAAAACTTATTGTTAACGTGCACCAATTTCTAAAAGTTCTTTGCCTATATACAGTTTAAATGTCTACCATATTCTGTAGTTTTTTTCAACACAATTTCCACATGTTTCAGACGCCATGACAGCATGAATCTCCCAGAGCTGAGAGAAAAGATCAGAAATGCACACATACCAGCTTTTGAGGTCCACTTACTTAACTTCATGTGTAACATTAAAAAATGGATACAGCCTTGTGTAGATTCTTTTTGTCCTCACACGTAAAAATGCACAAACTGTAATGGAGAAGTTTACATGCAATCTAAACCATGGATGAATGAAGAATCTTGGGCTACCAAATGGTCAGGGTCTAGAGTTCCTGATTGGACCATTTAACTGGTGTGACCAGACACAAACAAAATGATGGAGGTGGATACCTTAACAGACTGTGATAGGAAATGCAAGAGACCAAAGGGGATGGTGGGAGATGCTAACAACGAGAGGAGGTATAGGGAAAGGTGGAGTAAAGCATTTGAAGATTACCTTAGCCTAAGCAAAAAAGACGGGTGGTACCTGAAGAAAATAAAAGATCTTCAAGAAAAGATGTGGACCAGCAGGAGCAGGAAAATTATCTACAAAATCAGAAAGGTCAGCAATTGCTTTGAGGTGTGCGTGGTAATAAATGAGTTGATTACCATTATTTTGGCTGGAATATTCTTTACAAGGATTTTGAATCAAGGATGTAAAGTATCATGTATTTCCTCCTCTTAAAAAACCTTTGGGCCAATTTAAGCACTCCATGTAACACCGTGAAAACAAAACTTGGACAAAGTAGTAAATTACCTTATAATAAATCTACAACAACAACAACATCTTTATTTGCACTCTACATTGATTTACACTTAAAAACATACTATTAAAGATAGAGAGAGTACTGGCTGCCCATAATAGCCATTGACGGCTAAAAAGATAGGGCAACCTTACTTAGGTCATTAATAAATGATTTTATAAACGGTCGCGTACACCAGGTACACACAGCTACACAAAACACGCACACAAAAAAAAACAGAAAAAAGCTAGTGAATAAGTAAAGACAAAAAGGGAAGACAGAAAAAAATATATTGTTGAATGAGAATTGACTTTAGCATATTCTTAAAACGTTTGGGAGGAAGTAGCTTGATGTAATGTCTTAAATAAAGAAAAAAAGACTTTACTCGCAGTCATTTCCAGAGCTACTCTTAAAGCACAAGAAATTGTAACTCAGCAATGACATCTTTTTACCAGCAAAAGCTCGTTAACAGAGTCCAGAAACTGCATTGTGCCCCTGTAACTGATAAATGGTGGGAAAATTTTAGAAAGGAACTGTGGGCCCAATTTGCCAATGACAATCTTACTGTTTGCAGCGATTTTTTTGTTACTTTGACCATAATAATGCACCTTTTTTTTTTTACTGTTTGTAGCGATGGCCAGTGTGACTCTCCTTCGCCAAAAGCCTCTGCTGCTACGAAATGGAGATGAGGAGTGGCTATGTTATTGAAAAAGTTCTCAAAAAAAAGACACGTTGGGTTGAAATTCAGTATGATGGTTAAGAATACCTTGAACAAGACTCCAGAGTCTTCAATGTTATCCAAGTTTGCACAGACACATCATCCTCCATTAAGAAGCTCATAGGTGAGTTAGATATTGAACATTGAGCAATATGTAAGGTTTTGCTTCTTTATAGATTGTTCTTTATTCTGTCAAATTTCGTATAGATCCCTTTCAGGTTCAAAGTTCAAATATACGAATTTGTTGCATGGCAGGAGAAACTGGAATTTTTAAATGGAATTCTTTAAGATGCGACAATGTAGAAATTGAGCCGATAGAAGAACACCCACCTTGGTTTGACCAGAGGGGCCAAAACTTTGAAGCGTAACAGAAAGTAGTGCTTGGGCCAACTCTACTAGACAGCTTCAAGTTTTATGTGAAGTTTTGGTAAATGCTTTTTCTGTGTTTTTGTGGGTATGTGATGATGTAAAATTACATTCAGCTACAGTAATTTACTATAACAGTTTATTTTGGCAGATGTGCTTTTAGTTTACTTTCAACCACAACAGGAATGCGTATTTTGCCAAGACAAATTTTTAGAGGGTTGAGTCTAATATCCCAGAGCAGGGTAACCTGCAAACACATTCAAACCCCAAGTGGTATCCTCATTGTACTTACTTTCTTACGTTTTAAAGCTACACAGGATCTTTGGAATGTCTCAACAGCATGTCATTGGCATATTCTCCAAGAAGATCTTGTTACAATTATGTAATCAGTTGATTTTCCTCATATTGCAGAAGTAATAGACTTAAATTTCTAAGACCCAAACGTATTTTCAGCGGCATTCTTTTAACTGTGTAGCGAGATTTTAAGCTTTAAACCCCCGTAATAATTTAAGCCGTTTCATTATTTTGTACCGAAAATCAGCAGCCTTTGGTCATTCAACATGGACTGAATATTCAATTGCATAACAACAAGACTTTGTGCATGACTGCATACCCACATTACTTGTGTCACACATTACTGTTTCAATGTATCTGCTGGCAAATAAAATACAAACGTCTTTCCTCGCTTCTCATCATTCATAGACTAATTGCATCTAAGAAACTGCAAATAAAATTGTTGAATATACGAGTCTTGTTTACTGTGTTGTTCAATCCAGTTTGAAAGGCATTCAGGTACATATGAAAGCGGTTTCGCCCACGCTTCCTAACCAATGGCTACTTCGTTATAGAATTGTAAGTTCACACGTGAAGTGCAACTGCAACTGTTAAATCCAGGACAGGAGCACATGTGACAGAGCTGTATGTAAGAGGGGAGGGTGAATGGGGAAGCATTAAAAGAGGACAGTTTTAGTATTTATCCCAAGTCTTTTTCAAGGGTCTCTGAAATTACAAGTGGGCAGACAGTGGCATAAATTGTGGCATAATTTTGAAGTGGTGGTGGTGGTGGGGGGGGGGGAAGTTGATTTACAGTCATATGGTAAAGAAAAACCATCTTTAGTTACTGAGCACGTAGCCAGTTAGAAGCAAAAGCGAAAATTCTTTGCGTAAAGGCTGAAAGATTGTGTAATAGTCACTGACGTCAAGTCAGATGGCTGACTAATCCTTTAGACAATGAGTGAACATCAATGGAAGGACTAATTAGTCTAGGTAGGGAAAATAAAATGGCCCCGGGTTTAAAAAGCGAAAAGAATATCCAGTGCTTACAAAACGTCCCTTACAAAGTGAAAATAAAATTGTCCTCCTTAAAAGACACGTCAATTACCAGATGAAATTACGTGCAGGCAAAATGGTTGTGTAATAGTCATTGACGTGAACAAGATGGCTGACTAATCCTTTAGACAATGGTTGTAAAACAAAAGCAAAAAGCAAAAAATACTAGGTAAGCGAAAAGTAATTTCCCCTGTTCTAGAAATACAAATGATGACAAAAGACAAGATGGCCGACTAATTCCTAATGTCAAAAGAAAGACGTCAATGCTTAAAGAACGAACTCAGCCAAAGTGTAATTTCCACACATACAATACGCTTCGGTGAATTTGTATGCAAATTCATCTGACAGGTCAAGGCGGCCTTTTCTTTTAGCATTAGTAAAGAACGGTTAGTTTGCCACGAGTCTTCATTTCAAAGTGTCTTCAATTCTCAACTCCTATTGCTTGCAACGAGGTGTTATCATCTTGAAATTTGGTGACCAAGATCAAGATGGAAGGTAAGAGTTTAGTTTGCCTTAAACAAAGTGAATGAAACAACACAGACTATGAATTCGTTTTGAGCTTATTGTTTTGCGTTCATGATTGTTTTTAGAGTTTATCCACCAAGATACAACTTCAGTCAACGCAATTGATAGTGATATCGAAGGTTAGTCAGCTTCTTACTTTTCCTAACATTAAGAAAGGGTAGACGAAAGGGACGAACTAATGCGATCAGTGCAATGTATGGGTGTAACAGAGTAACGAAGGGAGAAAAACAAACATAGAGACGGATGGTTAAGTCAAATAAATAGAAACTCAAACAAGGTGAATGGAGCATGAACATTCCCGCATTAATGCAGGCCTTTCATTTCTTTTATAGAGTTATTTGCTCAAGAGGATGATGATCTTTTTTTGTCTGCTTTTTGACGCTTTGAACAGCATGGGGGCAATCCCCTTTTCCACGCTGAATTCACCCCCGTGGGTAGAAACAGATCGTTTAGGGGTATTGTAGATGAAAAGAAATACAAGCTTACATTGCACCAACTGCAAGATCCAGATGATGAGCTGCTTGGGGAAGCAATTACCAAAGTGATGATTCAGGGGTTACGGAGGGTAGTGGAAAATGAGGGGTTCAACGTCAGGGATTATTCATTGCTAGTGGCAGTCCATTCTAACTCGTTCACACGTCTGGTCTCAATCAGCCCGAAATGTCCCATTAGAGGAGTGGTTAAATAATGGCTTGTACACTCATGCCTGGCTAGAAGATCTTGCTAAGAAATTGAATTCTTCTCAAGTGATTGACCCCCATCGATATGGGTTTTTTGTTGAGCTCACCTTTGTAAAAAGCTGGTTTGTGGACGGAAAAATGGAGGGAAAAAGGAAATCCTGGGCGCCACATGTGGGAATCACTCACCAAGATAAAACAGTGCGTGGTTAGAATCAAACACAAAGATGACTTCTGCTGTGTCAGGGTGATTGTCACTATGAGGGAAAGGGTGGACAAGGGCTCCCATTTTAACAATTTGAGAAACGGTAGACCCATTCAAGAAAGATTGGTAAAACAACTCCATCAAGAAGCGGGTGTTCCCGAAGGCCCCTGTGGTTTTGAAGAATTGACCCAATTTCAAGAATTTCTAGGACCACAAGTATACCAACTCAGTCGTAGAACCCTCGAAGTGTTTGGTTGTGTTTAAAGAAGATGGGTACAATGATGCACCTCATGTCATTGCTTCAGTCAAACATCATCATCATTATGATGGCTTAATCAGCATTCCCGCCCTCATTAATTCATCCTATTACTGCTGTCTCTGCGAGAAGGCCTATGATAGAGAAGATGCAACCCACCAAAATTGCAATGGACAGAACTGCCTTGCCTGCTGTCGACGCAATAAGACCTGCCCCAATTACGCAATCTGGATTAAATCCAATGTTGAATGCACATCCTGCCATTACAAGTTCTATGGGCAAGACTGCTATGAAGCCCACAAGGCCAAAGGCAACAAGAAGGGAGACAAAAGTCTTTGCGAAAGGTGGAGAAAATGTTTAAGGTGCTCAGGAGAATACCAGTTTAATCCTAAAAAAACCCACAAGTGTTGCCACACCACCTACACGAATTGCCGTGAATTTGCCATGTAAATCATTGGTGTTTCATTCAACCTGTCAGACCTGAAGAAAACACCCCCCAAGATGATAACTTGGAAGACCCCAATGAATTCAATGAAGAGGAGGATGAGAATGGAGACAAACAAGGCCCTCCACCCCCTCCATTATTACATTTTATACCTAACCTCATTTGCTGATGATTGTTATAAACATGTGTTGCAGTAATTAAGTCGCTTTTTTAATTATTGACATAATGTGAGCCACTTAATTTTCACTTCATGTTATTTTCGTGACATTTAATTTTCGGGTCACTTAAAAGTCGCAACTTTTTTTTTAAACCGAGAAATTCGCGAAATTAACCTGTCGTGAAAATTTCATGTAATAAAGTATGCATAAAGTGTTTTATGTGTTCTTTTGTAAACTGCCTAATTTTTAAATACGAGTTAGTTCTTTAATTTTATTAGATTTTAATTGCCATTTCATGTACATAACATAACATAACATAACATAAACATAACATAATCTTTATTTAACGTGGGAGAAACACTTAGCTAAAGCTATTTTGCAGGTTTTCCACAAAAAAGATAAGATACATAAGATTGCTTTCTACATTAACAGTTTTGTAACACGGGATATGTATGTTTATATTATGAAATAAACACCTATTAAATATATTTATTATTATTATGAATTGCCCAAGTTACTCATGGAAGCCATTTTCTAAAAAAAACCCTGGAAGTGCACATTCCTGCTTTCTGAGCTATGAAAAAGGTGTTTGTCAATCGCAGTTACCAACTGTTTTATCACCTTCATCTACCGGCTTTCCATTGGTCATGATTTATAGAAAAATCGATCAATTCCACGCTGGCTTGAAGTGGGTTCTCTTCTATTCATGGGTACATGCTAATTAGTTACACACTGCGAATTCATGCCTTCTTCACACCAAACCTCAAGACAACAAACATTGGTCAGCCGAATTTAATAAAAAGGTAGGAGGCACGCCATCCTCATCGCCAGGGCCATCTCCACTTTTAACATGGCCGGCATTATTATGCAAACATTTTCAGGGGGAGGGCCCCCCGAGGACATCAGGCCCTGCAAGCCTTCACCACTTGGCCGCTGGCCATGTACATCCTACAAAATGCTACGGGTGACACCTTTACTGAAACAGTTGCTTAATTAAAATATTAACATCCGGACATCTTAATACCAAGT